ATTACTTGGGTAACATAAAAATAGGTTGGACAAACATAGACTGGAAAGAGGCAGCTTGTTTCAGTGTTCACTCTCTGTAATGTGCTTTGTGTAGTATAACAGGAGAGACTATGTGATGGCAGGGTTTACTGTTTTCAGGAGGATTCTTGCTAAGACTTCGGAGATGGTGAAGCTGCTGTTGTTTTGTTTAATTCTGTTTGAAACAGCGATCAGTGCTGATTCGAGGCACTTGCGTCTGCGGAAATTAGTTTCTTTGATCACTAATTGGGCGTCTCTGAATTTCATGAGATGATTGGTGGAATTTCGGTGTTGTACACAGGCGTTGTTCAAGTTATCGTTCCTACATGCGTAAATGTGTTCATTGAGGCGGGTGTCGAGGTTTCTTGCTGTTTCACCTACATAAATCTTGTCACAGCCTCCACAGGGTATAGTGTAAACACCTGCATTGACTGGTTCGTGGTGCTTGGATTTTGTCCTGGTTGGATCCTTTATTGAAGTGCTAGAAGCGATGGCGACTCTGGTGTTAGCTTGTGAAAGTACTTGTTTGTAATGGCTTGATAAAGCTCCTGGAGAGCGAAACGTTGCCACAATAAAATGTCACATTAGTTGCACTTGTGTCCTTTTACTTTACAAAGGATTTGATATTATTTAGTTAGATTTTAGTAAGGATTTTGATAGAGTTCCGCACCAAAGACTGTTTAAGAAAGTAGCAGCTCATGGTATTGGGGGAAAAGTGCTCTCATGGATCGAGTCATGGCTCACAGACAGGAAGCAGAGAGTGTCCATAAATGGGGTTAAATCCGAGTGGGGATCAGTAACAAGTGGCGTTCCACAGGGATCAGTCTTGGGTCCGTTGTTGTTTATAATATATACCAATGATCTTGATGAGGGAATTACTAGTGATATGAGCAAATTCGCCGATGACACAAAGATAGGTAGGATAATTGATTCAAACGTAGATGTTAGGGAACTTCAGGAGGATTTAGACAAACTCAATACCTGGTCAGAAAAGTGGCAGATGCAGTTGAATGTAGACAAATGCAAGTTTCTGAAGCTCGGGAGTGTCCATAACCCTAGCACTTAAGTTAAATAATGTAGAACTAGTCATGCAGATTGCGAAAAGGACTTAGGAGTTATGATAACCAGTAACCTCAAACCAAGACAGCAATGCCTAAGTGTACATAATAAGGCAAACAGCTTGCTTTTGGGATTTATATCAGGAAGTGTAAGCAACAGAAGTTATATTACAGCTTTATACATCATTGCTAAGGCCTCACCTAGATTATGCAGCTCAGTTCCGTTCTCCATATTACAGAATAGACATAATAGAATAGACAAAATAGAAAACATTTAGCGTAGAATGACTAAATTAATACATAGCATTAGAAATCTTCCTTATGAAGAAAGATTGAAGACCCTTAAATTACATTCAATTGTTAGACGAAGAATGAGGGGGGACCTGATCGATGTGTATAAGTGGAAGATGGGTATTATAAAGGTGATATGTACTTAGCTCAGTGAGGACGTTTTTGTACTCTCCTTGGACTAAACCAAGATGCCCTCCATCGAGCAACTTTACCAGCAGCTTAAGGAAGAATTGAGAGTAGCGAAGATGGAGATACGGCAACTGACAGAGGAAAACAAGAAGATTCGTAATAGTCCTCCTGTTTTGAGTCCTCAGGTCAAGAAGGGAGCATGGTCAGTGGCTGGACAGCAGGGAACGAAGTTGACGATCAAGAAGATGAATGGAAATGTAGAAACGATGAATAAGAAAGATACTGCTGTGGAAACTGTTGTGGAAACATCTAAGGCATTCTCTTTGCTACCCGACGAATGTGAGTGGACTACTGGGAACGTCACGACGAACAACACCAAGGAAGGTAAGAATATTGTTGTTGTTGGGGATAGCCAGGTTAGGTACATGGATAGGGCGTTCTGCTTGAACGACAGAAGTAGGAGACAGAGGGTTTGCTTTTCTGGGGCTGGGATTGAGGATGTTGTTAGCCAGCTTGAAAACATCGTGAATGGTAACGGGATCATTCCTATTTTCTGCCTCAGTGTTGGAGGCAATGATGTAGGCAAGTGCAGAAGCGAGGATTTAGTTAGGAGGTTCATGACAGCAATAGACATAATTGGAAAGAAGGGGCGCCCTGTTGTATGTGGCATTTTGCCAAGAAGGGAGTTGGAAATGAATGGTTGTCCAGAGCAACTGGTATTAATTGTTGGCTGGATAAACACTGTAAGGATAATGCAGCACCATTCATTGACAACTTGGACAACTTCTATGACCAAAATGACATGTATGTCAGGGATGGCGTTCACTTATCCAGGGCAGGTGTGGGTCTTCTTGCTAGCTCAGTTGAAGGGCTTGTTAGGACTTTAAACTAGGATTAGTTAGAGGTATGGGTTTAGAAATGATAAGTAATGAGTATGGATATATTGACTTATGCTCTGATATTAAGAATCTTAATAGTAACTGTCATGGAGTAACTCTGGGTAATGATAATTTCAGAAATTGTGTAAAAACAAAGATGAATAGGAAAAATGTGCAGAAGAAAAAACATATGATGGTATTTTATGCTAACAGTCGAAGAACAGGAAATAAGATTAATGAACAAAGTTTGGTAGCATATGCTGGGAACTTTGATTTCATTGCATTAATTGAAACGTGGTATGATTTAAAGAGTTGGGATATGATTGCTGAGTGTAATATTCAAGGGTTTTAGTTGTTCCATGTGGATAAATATAATGGGAAGGAGGGAGGAGTTGCATTATATGTTCGAGAAAATATTAATTGTTCCATAAAAGCAGGTATAAAAATAGATGGAACAGTAACAGAATCTGTTTGGGTAGAGTTTGTAGAAAGTCAAGAAAAAGTAATTCTGGGTGTAATATACCGACCTCTTGGCTTGAATCACGATAGAGGGAGACTTCTCTGGGACGAAACTGTTAGGGCTTCTAGACACAATAACATAGTGTTAGTAGGAGATTTTAACTTGAATCAAATTGACTGGAATTCTTTGACCAGTAATCTGGAGTCCAGTGACTTATGTATGATGTAGTACGATCTACATCATACATAATTTATTTACCTGTGTTTCTAGGTGCACTGAGTCCCAGCTGCCTTGTCCCCGGAACTGTGAGCCCTTCCTGTGGACGTCTTCACAGGTGGTTGTGGAGTATCTTCAACAATTCTCACGCTCACAGAAACAACGTTGCTCACAAGGAGGAAAGTGAACACCAGCAAGATAAACCTTAAGTTGGGGCTTCATATATTACTCAGAAAAAAAAAAAGACGTTCCTGTTTAATAGATTTTTAGTCAGAAACGGTATAAGATACCGATAAATATGAAATAAGATAGGTGCAATATTAATATCTTTTAAAGAGTTTACATAGTGGCAGAGGTGAGGTGTAAAGAGTAGAAACCAAACAGCTGTGTGAGCCATAAACACATATGCAGTATAATGTGATCCTTTATTGGCAACGTTTCGTCCACACAGTGGGCTTTTTCAAGTCACAAACAGATCTACCTACTTACCTGGCACAGGAGATACTGTGATCACCTGGGGTGGAAGGTACGCGAGTATTTATAGTCAGGTTCAGAATGCTGAGGTCAGGTGGAGAATGCTGCATCTGATGATATACCAAGTGGGGTTATAGAGTCTAAAATCTTGGGTAGCTTGGAAGAGAGATTGGATAAGCTTGTGAGCAGACCTTCTGCAGTGTTCTTCCATTCTTGTGTTCTTATGTGGGATAGCGATGAAGAAGTTTCTTGGCAAGTGGTTCAACTATGTTATAGAAGCCACTATTCTGGTACATCATCAGATGCAGCATTGTCCACCTGACCTCAGCTTTCTGAACCTGACTATAAATACTCGCGTACCTTCAACCCCAGGTAGATCTGTTTGTGACTTAAAAAAGCCCACTGTGTGGGCGAAACGTTGTCAATAAGGGATCACATTATACTGCCTATGTGTTTATATTTCCATTGTGTCGGTATTTTATACCATTTATTTCCAGGTGTGTGAGCCGCCAGGGGCTAGAGGGACTGAGCTGACTTGGACCAGTAGGGTTGTTGTAGTGAAACTAAACTCCAACTCTTAGGTGATCGTGGTGTTCTGATGGTGAAGAATTAATTTATCTATGACTTCTGAAATCATAAAAGTGCCAATGTTGTGGGCAACAGTGAGAGTTGCAATCAAAACACTTTTCAGACATCGTCATCTGGTTGGTTCTTCCCCAATGACGAGTCTGACTTCGTTAAATTTCATAAGATGGTCGTGAATATGTCGACAGATGACGCAGGTATTGTATTCTGGAGCTCTCTCGGAATTTTCTCCAAGCTTATGGATAACTCTCCAATATAAAATTCTCCACAACCACCACATGGGATCACCTTCACACTGAAGATTGAGAGACTTATGTAACATATGGGAATCTTTATTCAGGAAACGTTTCGCCACACAGTGGCTTCATCAGTCCAATACAAAGTAGAAGGTGTAAGGTGAGGAGGAATTTGAGGTAATCAGTCCCTCAGCCTGGAGTCGATGTGTTCAGTCCATCAATCTTGTAGAATGTACAGCATAGGGCCGTAGACGTGGCTTATATACTGTAGTCAGGTGAGGTGAAGCAGGCGGAGGCGGGGTCATAGTGGTATCATCCACTACTTGAAGTAGGTCTTCGTCCAAAGGTTGAACAAGTGTTGAAGAATTCTTTGTAACAAGAACTTATGATGCTGCAGTGTCTGACAGTTGTGATGAATGGTTTGAAAAACCCGCCTCCTCCTGCTTCGCCTCACCTGACTACAGTATATAAGCCACGTCTAAGGCCCTATGCTGTACATTCTACAAGATTGATGGACTGAACACATCGACTCCAGGCTGAGGGACTGATTACCTCAAACTCCTCCTCTCCTTACACCTTCTACTTTGTATTGGACTGATGAAGCCACTGTGTGGCGAAACGTTTCCTGAATAAAGATTCCCATATGTTACATAAGTGTCTCAATCTTCAACTTGTCGGTTTTTCAAACCATTCATCACAACCTTCACACTGACTTCATAGTCCATATCTTGTAGATGTCATAGTGGCTACCTTAATGTTGCTCCTAGCTCATCGTGGCTACCTTAATGTTGCTCCTAGCTCATCGTGGCTACCTTAATGTTGCTCCTAGCTCATCGTGGCTACCTTAATGTTGCTCCTAGCTCATCGTGGCTACCTTAATGTTGCTCCTAGCTCATCGTGGCTACCTTAATGTTGTTCCTTGCTCATCGTGGCTACCTTAATGTTGCTCCTAGCTCATCGTGGCTACCTTAATGTTGCTCCTAGCTCATCGTGGCTACCTTAATGTTGCTCCTAGCTCATCGTGGCTACCTTAATGTTGCTCCTAGCTCATCGTGGCTACCTTAATGTTGCTCCTAGCTCATCGTGGCTACCTTAATGTTGCTCCTAGCTCATCGTGGCTACCTTAATGTTGCTCCTAGCTCATCGTGGCTACCTTAATGTTGCTCCTAGCTCATCGTGGCTACCTTAATGTTGTTCCTTGCTCATCGTGGCTACCTTAATGTTGCCCTAGCTCATCGTGGCTACCTTAATGTTGCTCCTAGCTCATCGTGGCTACCTTAATGTTGCTCCTAGCTCATCGTGGCTACCTTAATGTTGCTCCTAGCTCATCGTGGCTACCTTAATGTTGTTCCTTGCTCATCGTGGCTACCTTAATGTTGCTCCTAGCTCATCGTGGCTACCTTAATGTTGCTCCTAGCTCATCGTGGCTACCTTAATGTTTGTCATAGCAAGTGTGCTGGTGATGCTGGTAGGTACCTCACCAACTGCTGGAACAAAGAATCTACCAGACGAGCGTTCCTGCCTAGCTGAGTCAATATTTCCTGTGCTCTTCTTCTGGATATTGTAACTGAGTGAATGTCTGATGAATCTAACAACATTCATCATCAAGATGGTCAGAGCTGGAAACCTTTGCTATGAGAGAGAACCATATGATCACTCCACGACCAGGTTCCAGGTGAGAAAAATAATGCGCCAAGTCCTCTTTACTCTTGGTGTTCTGAAGAGTTTCCTTGAAAGTTTACAGGAAGTTAACTAATGAAGACGACTGCATTATTTTTCACGCCACGACGCCAGAACAAAGAGAGAAGTGATCTTCAGTGTTCACTTCAGAACATACAATATCATCAAACATTCACACAAATCCAATTTCTAACTTTATTAATGATTGCAGCTACTAGCAGTCCCAGTTTACTTAATAATAATATCTCCAGTTCTACCAGTACACGTACAAGGTATACAGACCTAGCGGACAACAGTGACATACTAACACACAGAAAGCCCAGGATTTTAGGTAAATTACGTTAGTTTTTTCCCAGGATGCGGCCCCAGTGGCCTGGTAGCTAAAGCTCTTGCATCACACACGGAGGGTCCGGGTTCGATTCCTGGCTGGGGTGGAAATATTTCGACGTGTTTCCTTACACATGTTGTCCTGTTCACCTAGCAGAAAATAGGTACCTGGGTGTTAGTTGACTGTTGTGGGTGGCATCCAGGGGGACAAGATTGAGGACCACAGTAGAAATAAGACAGTCCTCAATGACGCACTGACTTTCTTAGTTATCCTGAGTGGCTAACCCTCCGGGGTTAAAAATCCGAATGAAATATTATCTTAACTTATCTTAGAAGCTTGAAAAAATAATACGAGAGCTCCAGAACACATATAACATAGCTGACCAATATAATACCTGCTTCAACCATCGAAATACAACCATCTTATGAAATTTAAGGAAGACAGACTTGTCACTGGGAAAAAAGAGTAACCAGACGATGATGCCTGCTGCAAAGTTATTACTGTGACCAACACTGTTATGTACAAGACTTGCAGTGTTAATTACCATCACAACACCGTGATCATCTAATAGAGTTTTGAGGTTCTGCAACGAGCCTATTTATCCAAGTCAGTTCAACCCCTCTAGCTCCTGGCTCACAGCTGTACTAGTCTGGCATCTCACCATGTCTCCTCTATCACTGTGGTTATCACTGTAGGATTTACAAACCACTCGTAGAGAAACATTTCCTGGTTAAAATAACCAGATACTACACATGTCTCATTTCACATATTTTTGATATATTTTCCACCAGAGTTCAAAGATCTGTTTCTGTCTACATTCATATTATAAGTTATGTAAGACACTGAGCAAAATATTTGCTAAGGGATCTTCTTTTTGGTATATTACGCTCCTTCCACACCTTAAACCTTGATGGGTTGACTGATGCTGGTCAAGAGCTCCTGATCCAAGGAACAATCTTCCCAGTATTGGAATTAAATTTCGTTCCTTTCCTCCCCTCCCATTACCACGGATTTAATGCTTCACTATAAATATAATTCGAATAAGTCAATACCTCGACTATTTTGCTCCGATATTTTAACAAATTTTGGATGCGCATTATTTTGTACTAGGTTTCATTTATATATTTTTCTTAATTTTATTAATCAGTCAACATTTTGTTATTCTCTGGAGGGAAGATAAACACACGTTGTTCCTCATCAGTCAAGCAGTACAAGAGTTGAGTTTCAGAGTTGACTTACGTATAACGATGGTCAGGTTTTTTCTTTGTGATAGACGTATTTTTGTATTTAAACGAAATACACAGAATATAATCAACAAAATGTGTATATTATTAGCTATATTATCGCATGTTGCATGATTGTCAGCAAAATAAAGAATCTTCTGTTATTTGTTTGTTTTCACCTGTTCCTCAAATTTATTTTCAAGTTTGGTAGACTCCAGCAGCAGAAACAGTACTAACAACATCAACAAGTAAAATAATAACGACTAACAATAATTTCGGATCACCTTTACAAACGTGAAATGAAACCAATTTTGGGAAACTTAATTCTAATCGATCACGTTCTGTTTCTCTGAGACAGAACGTGAACGACTTCAACATCATGGAGAAGAGAAGTAAGGGAAATTAGTGGATGACTGTGATGGTAGACTGTTGTTGGACACCAGTGGATGACTGTGATGGTGGACTGTTGTTGGACACCAGTGGATGACTGTGATGGTAGACTGTTGTTGGACACCAGTGGATGACTGTGATGGTGGACTGTTGTTGGACACCAGTGGATGACTGTGATGGTAGACTGTTGTTGGACACCAGTGGATGACTGTGATGGTGGACTGTTGTTGGACACCAGTGGATGACTGTGATGGTAGACTGTTGTTGGACACCAGTGGATGACTGTGATGGTGGACTGTTGTTGGACACCAGTGGATGACTGTGATGTAGACTGTTGTTGGACACCAGTGGATGACTGTGATGGTGGGACTGTTGTTGGACACCAGTGGATGACTGTGATGGTAGACTGTTGTTGGACACCAGTGGATGACTGTGATGGTGGACTGTTGTTGGACACCAGTGGATGACTGTGATGGTGGACTGTTGTTGGACACCAGTGGATGACTGTGATGGTGGACTGTTGTTGGACACCAGTGGATGACTGTGATGGTGGAGTGTTGTTGGACACCAGTGGATGACTGTGATGGTGGACTGTTGTTGGACACCAGTGGATGACTGTGATGGTGGACTGTTGTTGGACACCAGTGGATGACTGTGATGGTGGACTGTTGTTGGACACCAGTGGATGACTGTGATGGTGGAGTGTTGTTGGACACCAGTGGATGACTGTGATGGTGGACTGTTGTTGGACACCAGTGGATGACTGTGATGGTGGACTGTTGCTGGACACCAGTGGATGACTGTGATGGTGGAGTGTTGTTGGACACCAGTGGATGACTATGATGGTAGACTAATGCTGGATACCAGTGGATGATTGTGATTTAGACTGATGCTGGACATCAATGGATGACTGTGATGGTACACTGTTGCTGGACACCAGTCGATGACTGTGATGGTAGACTGCTGCAGGACACCAGTAGATGTCTGTGATGGTAGACTGTTGCTGGACACCAGAGGATGAGTGTTATTTTAGACTACTGATGGATACCAGTGGATGACTGCGATGGTAGAGTGTTGCTGAACACAAGTGAATCACTGTGATGTTAGACTGTTGTTAGACACAAGTGGATGACTGTAATGGTAGACTGATGCCGGATGCCAGTGGATGGCTGTTGCTGGACAACAGCGGATGACTATGATGGTAGACTAGTTGTTGCAGCCCCCTACCAAACTAGCGGTTAAATGGTTAACCTGCCGGCCGGCAGTACCACTGGGTACGTCATCAAACCCATTGTGGGGACTGCTGAGCCGGCCTTAGAAGCAGTTTGTTCCTGAACACCTCACGGTACGCATCTAAGCAGTAGGTACCTGAACACCTCACGGTACACATCTACTGGCTTTAGAAGCAGTATGTACCTGAGCACCTCACGGTACGCACCGCAGCAGTAATTACCAAAACACCTTACAGTATAGATCTACTGGCAGTAGAGAGTATTCTCCTGCCCAGCTTTTGGTATTCTACTGGCTTCTACTGATTTTAGAAGAGCCGCTCACCGCAGCTCACTGAGTCTGTTGGCCTCAGTTACTTGACAGCCGCATTCAGTGAGCTTGCAGCATGGTGTTCGGCAAGCGGTAGATAGTACTCACCAGACCATCTTACGGTGTACTTCTACCGGCCTTAGAGAGTATTTACAGGACTACCGGCGATGTCTGCGGACTCACGCCTACGCTGGTCAACTGTGGGTTAAGTCAACGGATGCTGTTTTAGTGGAACATTACGTGAAGAAGAGGTTGGAGTGTTACACTGAACTGGGCTAGGACCGTAGTGTGACACTTAAGCAAGTATGATGGAGTGGAACACTGAGATATGCTACAGGACCGTAGTGGAACACTGAGAAGAAAAGGGTGTCGTGTGACACTGAAGATGGCCTGGTTGTAGTGTACATTGCATAGTGTCATGTGACTGGTCTCTGATAAGAAAGACGCTGTGGGTGATAGTGTGCGACGCATTAAGGTGTCGTGAGACAGTTGACTAATTTATTATTGTAAATGTTACGTATAATTTATTATTTTGGCATCTGGTAACTACTGCGTAGATGCTACCGTGAGGTGTTCAGGTACTTACTGCTCTAAGGCCAGTAGATGTGTACCATTAGGTGTTCAGGTAAGTGCCGGCCGGCAGGTTAACCATTTAACCACTAGTTTCGTAGGGGGCCGCAACACCCCCACCACAAAAGGACCGACACACAAAGATCAATGTAATATGTATCTCGAACCGTCATCCCGGATAGGATCATCCCAGAAATCATTCTTGATAATCATTATCATCCCGGACAGGCCACTCATATATTACAAAAAAAGTATTTTTTAAGATGGTAGGTTTACTCATTTTGTAATATAGAGTTCGGGATACATAAATACAACATTAAAATCAATTAATCTTTTATATAATATATAAAAACAATCTTTGGTCTAGAGGTATTTAAAATATATATATATATACATGTTACAATAATAAATTATAATTAGCATTTAAAATAATAAATAATTCCCGACCCTATACAGGGTACAACTTTCTTGACACTCCTGTGTCACTACATATATATCTATGCTAAAATAATAAATTATGAATAACATTTGTATAATAATAAATTATGATCAATTCCGTGTCCCACACGACACTTATAATGACGCTGTGTCCCACACAACACTTATAATGACGCTGTGTCCCACACAACACTTATAATGACGCTGTGTCCCACACAACACTTATAATGACGCTGTGTCCCACACAACACTTATTCGAGTTGAGACGCTCCTTCTCCACCTTGTCACTCGACACCCTTTTCTCTGTGTCACCAGACACTCCAGCTCTCCGTGTCACACGACACCTTTTTCTCAGCGTCATCCACACCCTTTCTCGACTGTGTCACACTTGACACCCTTGTCTCTGCGACACACTCACTATCCGCGTAGCGTCTTTCGAGAGGCCAGTCACATGATACTATTCAATGTACACTACAACCAGGCCATTTTCAGTGTCACACGACACCCTTTTCTTATCAGTGTTCCACTACGGTCCTGTAGCATATCTCAGTGTTCCACCCCATCATACTTGCTTAAGTGTCACACTACGGTCCTAGCCCAGTTCAGTGCAACACTCCAACCTTTTCTTCATGTAATGTCCCACTAAACAGCATCCGATGACTCCGGCCCACAGTTGACCAGCGTAGGCTGACATCACCGGTTATCCTGTAAATACTCTCCAAGACCGGTAGAAGTACACCGTAAGACGGTCTGGTGAGTACTATCTACCGCCTTCAAGACCAGCTGACACACCGCAAGGTGGTCTGATGAATTACTAGCAGAACACCATGCTGCAAGCTCACTGAGTGCGGCCATCAAGTAACTGAGGCCAACAGACTCAGTGAGCTGCGGTGAGCGCTTCCTCTAACGCCAGTAGAAGCTCGACACCAGTGGATGACTGTGATGGTGGACTTTCTGGGCACCAGTGGACGACTGTGATGACAGACAGATGCTGGATACCAATTGTTGATTGTGATTTAGATTGATGCTGGACATTAGTGGATAAGTGAGATGGTAGACTCTTGGTGGACATCAGTTGATGACTGAGATGGTAGACTGTTGTTGGACTCCAGTGGATGACTTATGATGGACACCAGCGGATAACTGATGCTGGACACCAGTGGATGACCGTGACGGTAGAATGATGCTGGACACTGCTGGATGACTGTGATGGTAGACTGTTGGTGGACATCAGTGGATGACTGAGATGGTAGAATGTTGCTGGACACCAGAGGATGACTGTTATTTCAGACTGATGAAGGATACCATTGGATGACTATGATGGCAGACTGCCGCTGTACATCAGCGGATGACTAATGCTGGATACCAGTGGATGACTGTGATGGTATACTGATGCTCGATAATAGTGGATGACTGTGATGGCAGACTGATGCTGGACACCAGTGGATGACTGTGATTTATACTGTTTCTGGACACCACTTGATGACTGTCCTGGAAGACTGTTGCTGGGCACCAGTAAATGAATGTGAAGGTAGACTGATGCTGGATACTAGTGCATGACTCTGAAGGAAGACTGATGCTGGATACCAGTGAATGACTATGATGGTAGACTGATGCTGGACACAAATGGATGTTTGTGATGGTAGCCTTTTGCAAAGCACTAGTGGACGACTGATGCTGGACAAAATTGGATGTCTGATGCTGGACACCACCGGATGATTGATGCAGGACACCAGGGGATGGTTGAATGTTGCTAGACATTTGTGGATGACTGTGATGGAAGATTGATGCTGTACACAAGTGGATGTCTGTTGCTGAACACCATCGGATGAATGTTGCTGGACACCAGTGGGTGAATGTTGCTGGACACCAGGGGATGACTGTGATGGTAGACTGATGCTGGACACCAGTTGATGAGTGTGATGGGAGACAGATGCTGGACACCAGTGGATGACTGTGACGGTGAACTGTTCCTGGACACGAGTGGATGACTGTGATGGTAGATTGATGCTGGATACCAGTGGTTGACTGTGATGGTAGACTGATCCTGGACACCAATGGATGATTGCTGCTGGACACCAGTGGATGACAGTTATGGTAGGCTATTGCTGAACAGCAGTGGATGACTGACGCTGGACACCAGTGGATGGCTGATGCTGGACAGCAATGGATGACTGTTATGGTAGAGTGATGCTGGAT